TCGTATCAGTGTAGTGTAATTGAAAAAACCTAGGTTTACACTCATCCACAGATGTAGGAATATGTGACAATAAAGAGCCAGTATGCATGAGGGAGAAACATAGGCACAGTAGGAACTGCTTTGACCGGGACTTGACAATGGACAAGCGTGATCAATGCAGCACAGCATACTACAATAATACATCTGTCCTGATGACCTTTCTCTTCCCCTTCCCACCATCCACAGGCCTCTTTCCCTCTGCTACACAAATGCCACATCTTTGGTGCATGATCCTCACATTTAAACCCTGTGCGACGATGCACTGCTCATCTGTGCCAGGGACATGGAGCAACTGTAAGATTTTCATGTTTCAAGTGTGTGCATGTTGGTGCCACACACTTGAAACATGAAAATCTTACAGCAACATCTACAGATACACCTGTTTCTTGTCATCTGTAGAACAAGCTAACCACTCTGCACGCTGGGCATCACTCAGGACCACGTCCAAGCCACCAAGCGAGAGGCACATCAGCGCAGAGAGAACCTCCGCACCTGAGACGTCCAGCAAGAGTGGGAGCCGACCATTGTGGATCTTGACGCTGACCCTGTTGAGGGCGCAGAGATGGGGCAGGACTGCATCCAGGAGGAAGAGGTGCGCCAGCACGTCTATTGCCTGCACCCTGCTGGAGCGCGTGATGCGCAGGGGCGGGATGGCGCACGGTGGATGTAGGTCCAGGGTCACCTGTTCGATGCCGTTCCATTGAAGTGCGAGTTTGGACGATGCCGGTAATGTTTTCGGGATGACGAGTTGCATGTATTCAATTCTCTGACAACTTGAGGTTTTGGCTGGTAGCAGCACCCGTACGTGCGCGGTCGGGGAGCCACCAGCTGAGACTATATTACCAAAATCGATCGACGTTATCATCGACCGATTAGATAGGCCTGCTTTAGGGAGAATAAGCTGAGACACTGTAACCGTACGAGTGGACTGAGGCTGTGAGCACCAAGAGTTTTGGCCATGAAAGGAGCAACGACTTACATGGCTCAGTGCCGTTGAAAGCATTGTAGCGCAGATCGACCTGGTAGGGCAGGCCCCCGGACGACAGCGTGGCTAAGATCTTCTCGGACAAAGCGAGAGTCGTGTCGTTGACATGCATCTGGCCTTGACTGGCGAAGAGAGGATTCGCTAGTTCAAATTGGCCGCTCGAGTATCCGTCCTTAAAGCGCCGAATGATGTGGAGAACCTGCGGCCACGAATGGCGACGGGATCGCCGGCGGACGAGACGGGTGACGGCACCATCCACGAATGTAACTTCCTCAGCAGAGAGCTCCATCATGCCAAGATGAGCAACGCAGTTGACGACATCCTTCACAGATGACAAGCGCAAGCGACAGAGGGTCAAGTGCCCGATGCACAAAGTTGACCCTGGCAAGGCCTTGGGTAGGGAGGCGAAAGGCAATAAGGTGGTCTTGTTCGGCTCAGGCTTGTCTTCGCTGCGGACGGTCCAGGACATGTGGACCGGGAAAGTCAGCTGAAGGCGATGCCTGTGAAGCCGAATGACATGGTGACTCCACGGAATTTGGGTGGGGATCCTGTCTTCGACAAAGTCGAGACGGCCGACGCAGTCTCTGATGTTAGGTACAAGGTGGTCTGATGCATCCAGCAGTGTGAGAAGATCTGAGATGTTGTCTGCACTTCTCAGAGTGAGCCTCTCGAAGAGTAGGGGCCTGATGAGTCGCGCTCAGAACCGACAGGTCAGACTACATGCCGTCAGTCCTTGTTTGGTTGGTTTCCAGTCGGCACCCCAGCCGCGGCAGCGTACAAGGATGGCATAGATCAGCTCTGGTGACATGTTCTCTCTCTTTTTAAAAAGCACCAGTCGGCATGAGACAAGAAAAATACGCACGTGAATGGACGGTGTAGTCGAAGTGCAGGGTCGCTGGGCGCTCCGTGAGCTCTGCACCGCCATCACATCGCCATCGGCGGATCGGCAGCAGCCGGGTGAGCCCGGATCTTTGTGGCGCGGGAACTTTCTCCTCTCGTCCCATCGACCGGTACAGTATCTCAAGTTTTCGCCTGGCAGCGTACGTTGGGCTTAGGTTAGGCGACCGCTAATTTCATACCACATCGCACCCTCTGCTTATCCACGGTAAGCATCTTTCTCCTCATACATTTTGGCTTCCCGGGTTGACGTTGGCATACTCAGAGAAGGTCAGGAGCAAGGTTAGCGGGACAGTGACAACAGACTGCCTCGATTGGGCCTCCCCTACCAGTTCAAATCGTGCAATTCCATTGCTTTTCGTTATCGCTGCTCTTAGGTGATGTATCAATCAGCGACCCGATGATCATGGGCCCTGGTGCCTCTTCCAGCCTGGGCCCCCGGAGATTCTGCCGCCTTCCGAAGTTGTCCAAGCACTTTTTACTGGTGGTGCGAGTACTTACACCGCTACTCTCCTTAACTTGCGATTGCTTTGATGATTGGTTTCGTTTTTGTGCAGCCGGACACAGCCTATAGAGGTAGCAAGCGCTATCTAGAAGGACCGACAAACGACCAGCGAA